CAGCGGCTGCCGGGCAGCGGTGCCAGCCACCGGCCACCGGCACCGGCGTCCGGCACCGGCACCGGCAACGACAAAAAAAGTATATACCCCCCTGCCATCATCTGGATTTTTTTGAATCCTTCCAAGGAGCTGCGTTCACACCTCGCCTTTCTGTTGTAGGTCGAACGTGTAGTGCCAGGAGCTTCCAGGAGGCTTTTTGTCGCTGAGTGGGACGTCCTCACAGACACTGCCTTTGAAGCTGGCTTTAATCAATGTATAAAGCTTTTCGGTCGTAAGGTCTGGAATGGTTTGTTGTCGTTTTAAAGGATACATAACAAGTTGTCTTCTTGATCCAAGGAAGTACGATCCGGTCAGCAACATGCAGTTCGTTGAGCAACTCGGTTTAACGCCTCAAACCGCACCGTGTTGTGGTGAGGCAAGCTCGATTGCAAGCCCACCTGTGCAAACGGTGAATACTCATTGTTTGGATAGTTGTGGTTCAAACTTAACAATCGGATTCTTTTGTTTCGCACCAGCAAACGCAAGAGATGCTATCAACCCCACAACTCGACTTTGTTTTGTCGCGGAGTGATGTGAGTGGGGTGGGCAGGTCGTGCAAGTGCAAAATCCGACTTACCATAGTTACCATACTCACCTGACTTTCAAACCTGCTAGGCTGCTAGACGCAAATGAACCTCCCACACTACACCACCCTGGCACCTGTACTGTAAATCATAAAGCACCTTCGCAATCCTTCGCATACTTCGCTATATTGATAATGATATACAGGCTATGGCAGGTACGGTAGGTACTGCTAAAATCGGATCAGCACAAAGCTTAGGTTCCGATGCCAGCGATACGTCTACGTGTGGGTCCTCGGGCGGTGGGTCTTGTCGCCACGGCTAGCGGCTATTGAGCTTCACGTTTTCTTCACTCACTTGGAGAACCACAAATCAGTGAGAAGCCTGTGGCCACTGATTAGATATGGACACGGCGACGCAATCGAAGTAGTAGGGCAAGGATGAAATTGATACGAAGATTCCAACGATCAAGTTGGAATGAGCACTGCCCAGGATCCAGAGAGTGATGGTTTTACGCAGCATGATCCAAGCGCTAGTCACCTGGCAGTGGATTGTCATATTCTTTTGCGAACGCTGGAGGCTTGTGTCCATGTTTGGTGAAGCAGCGCTAGGACCAGAGCTTTATGCAGGTAGCACTATTCTATTCGGGAGTTCATGCTTGACTATTCATCCTATTCTTTTTTGCCATTTGCTGTCCTTGCGGTTGTTGTTGTTGTTGTCGTCGTTTCTTCTTTTATATACAGTATTTATAGAGACACTTCAACCTGGAAATTGACCAGCACTTTGCAATGTGTGCATTGCTTCTCTTGGGTGAGGGCCCTTTGCTTTTAGTCCAAGTCCTGAAGAGAACTGACATTTGTTTGTGCCTTTCCAAACTCTCTACAAGAACCATCCAATCCAAGAAGCTGGATTTTGATTTTATGTTAAGTTTGCTTGTCGTAGTCCCAATTGTTCGAGCATGCGTTCAATGCTATGCCGGGTGTCTAGTTCTTGTCGCTTCGCGTTTTCAAAGTCACTTCTGAGGCCTACAGAAAGGCCAGGAAGCCTTCAACCAGCTCCTGGCTGATGGTGGTCTGAGGCAACGCCTCCCTCATGCTTGGCTCAAAAAGAACTACAATATAATCTTTGTCCGGAAATCGGGACCATGGAAAGCCAACTTGTACACCAACTGATCGATTTATACATGCTTGTGTGCACTGCTCTCCAGGAGCAAGGGTTCTTCTACACCAGGATCCTTTATGACCGTGGAAGAAATGTACAGGACTGTCAAGGGGTTTATGGACCCCGCATAACGCTTTGGCACAAGAATGGCTCCTTCAATAGCCCGCTTTGATGCTCCGAGTGTTTGATGTTTTGATGTTCATGCAGACAGATCGCAGCCAGATTTGCAGAGCTTTGCTCATTGGCGCATCAACAGCTTGAGTTTGGGCAAATTGGCAGGACGGCGGGGCCAAATCAGATCCCCTTTGAGGTGGATTCCTGGGCGCAAGCTTTGACCGAAGAATTCTGCACTTACTTCTTCCTATACCAATTCTCAATCTACGCGGTGTGCGTGCCTTGGAGGCAAGTGAACTCTAGTTAGTGTCTCATTTGGTTCAACATACCCATGCCATATTGTCTCTTGTGCATGGAGAAAAAGGTGACTCTTGCTACAGGAAATTGACTAGTGCGGCAGATTTTGGGTCCTCCAGTTTACACGTGCTGTAGCTGAGGTTTGGTTCTCCTATTGGCACTACACCATCATAGCGGTCTTCATCGCCATTATCTCTGGCTTTTTCAATGCTTCGGTGAGACTGGCAAGCCAGCGATCGATCAAGTCCATGATGGAGCCTTGGAGCACTGATAAGGCCAACGTGCTCAAGACCTCTCATGCTGTTGCGCTCTTTTGATCCTTGTCGCCTTCAGTTTCACCAGTGTTTTGGGCCAGCCTTGGAATCTAAACAACACCTCAAAATTATGGTAGGTGAGCCTGTAGGAGCGCGGCGCGTTCACCACGTTTCAAACGCCATTTACGGGTAATTACCACACATTTTTTGCTTTGTTTTGTCTTATCTTGTCTTTGTCAGGTTTCTGCGGCTCCTGACAAAATGTTCAACTTTTGCGGCTTCTGCGGCATGAGCGATTGCACCGTACTCGTACAAGGTAGTGAACTGGCCTTGATATATGATACAATGATATATGTAATTACTGCCAAAACTCCTTTTCTCTGATCTTTTCTTTCTTCTGAGTAGTCCAGTTCATTGCATGCTCTAAGCCGAAAACAACAAATCAACACAATCACAGGTCTCGTTTGCGTAAAACCTACGAAGCGTTTGGTTGGCTTTTAATATACGGGGCCATGCGTGCGGGAGCATGAGACATCGACGTGATTACCTACCGAAACCATGTGTGCACAAGCGTGAGACGCCCCAGACCCTCCCCACCCCTGTATTTGCTTTTGCTTCTTGCTTAACCCCTGTGCGGCCTCACACTCTATGTCTGCACATGATTGACGCCATTAGCTCAAGGAAAAGTCACCGTTTGCTATGCACGTTTTCGCGCTTGATCCACTTGCATTCGCATCGCCCCTTCTCGACCTCTCTTTGAGATCGCGTTCTTTGGACCGTAGTTGAACTCTCCACCCCGCGTAGAATGTTGATGAGCGTGGCGTGCTCCTACAGCGGCGCTTGCACCGCAATGATCTCCTACGTCCCAAGAAGTCCACTTTGCGTGTACAGCTATGGGAACCTGTTGTTGCTGAGTCCCATGATGTCCCACGACTATGTCGGTGATCAGTGATACCATGAACTTCACCCTTCGTAACGCATGCTGCATGCTTGTCATCATATGCTGGTGGCTTGATGCAATAAGTTGCGACTTTCGCTTATGCTTCTGCTGGTGGATCTGGTTCTCGTGCTGCCATTTCCGTGAGGTGAATATCTACTCTTGTGAAGGCATGCGCGTTCATAGGCATTCTCGAGTGTAGGTGAGACCAGGTTGTGAAAGACCATTGTGTCCGCTGCCATTTGGTTCAACAGGGGCTCGTTTTTGAGTTTTCGTTCGCCTTGGCAGCCGCGAGGGAAGGTTGCATGTGGACTGACACGTTCCCGGTTCCAATTCATATTCGTAGCGGAGCCAGATCCAGGTCGCACTTCGCAAGTCGTTTCGTTGCTACCGCGTGACAGATCCTTTGGAGACCAAATCCAGCAGTCACAAGTGCGGTGATCCGCAGGCACCACGATCGGGAATTTCGATCCAACAAGCTGAGAGTTTGTTCGAGAGCAGAGTCGATGCCAAGGAAGGCAAGAAACCCATATGCTGTTTGAGGACGAGGTGAACAAGGAGAGATACCGACGATGGAAGTGCTGCAGCCGAAGGCAAAATGAGCCCAAGTCGAGAGCTGAACCTACAAGCCGGAGGATGATCCGAGGCGCCGAAATCTGAGCAGACAGAGAAGGACGGGGCGTTTGAGATAGCGTGTGATTTAGGTTTGGATGCTGTTGTTGAGAAAGGAGGACTGGAGTGATTTGCTTCGAGGAGAATTTCTCTTGGAGCTGACCGGCGTTTCATGTCAAGAAGTTCTGGTTCTCAAGCAAATGCTTCGAAGGGTATGCAAGTGTGATGATAGTCCACTACAGGGGCATTCACCTTCGTGAAGCGAGTCGAACCTGGGCAGGACGGTCTCCGACCTTCAAGCAAAAAGGGAAGAGCCAAAAATAGGCAAGGTCCCCGACTTGTTATGTTGACAACGAAGGGTATGAAGACGAGCTTGGTGAACGAATCCGGGCTCCTTCTTCCACTCAAGAGGTGAGCGCGGAAGAAGAGGAGATTGCAGCCTGAGACCCAGAATAAGGACATTCAGCTCCGTCAGGGACTTGAAGGAGATCGGCGATTTGAAGAAGATGAGCCTTGACGGCAAGGGTGGCCTTCCTGTTTGGAAGGAGGCGCCGGTGTAGATTCTGAAGCGGGATGAAGCCACGACAGGCACATCGGCAGGCTCGAGACCCGAGCACCTGCTCAACCGCTTGGTGAAAGCTGCGCCGTCCAATTGAAACCACAAGTTTCCACCCTCGTGGAAAGCTTGGGAGTCACATCGAATGATGAGGAGGTATTGGCCTCGTTTCAGGGAAGTTGTGACCAGGGCTTGGAGGGAAAATGCAGATCATTTGCTGCTCTGATCGCAGAAATGAAAGATCATCTCACCAGCTGTAAGAAATGAAAGGACGTCATGCGTGAGCATGTTCCGCATCTTGCAGAAGACTCCCGCTGGACCGCTGCCGTCACGGGCAAAAATGCTTGGGATCGAGCTGCGTTCAACTCATGAGACTTTGTGGATTGATGGCGTGTAAGCTCAGGCGCCTTTGCCCTGTATCGTCCTGCTCGAACTGCAGCCGAACGAGACCAAAGGAACCGACGAGAAGGATTCGGACCATGGTCTCTGAGCCCGGCAGCTCTTTCCCGCCGCTTCTCAGACAGCTCGCTGGTTCATAGGCGTTCTCAAGTGTATGGGTCAGACCAGGTTGTGAAACGACCATTATGTCCGCTGCCATTTGGTTGGCCTTGGCAGCCGCGAGGGAAGGTTGCATGTGGAGCGACGCGTTCCCGGTTCCAGTTCATACTCTAACCCAATGATGAGAAGTTCACACTTTTTCCTGTGTGTTGAGGTTGCTCAAATCTCTCTCATATTATGGACGACAGCGCGTGGGTTTGCTTTGCATAGCCGAAGAGACTTATTGCCATCGATTTGGCCGTTAGGAGCAGAAAATCACCGCAAAAGTGTTTCGAGATGGTCAAGTCATTCAGGCAAGGTGTGGGCGGCAGTCACCGGTGCAGCAACAATTTGCGGTTCATGTTGCCCAAGCTCTAGATTGCGGGATTTTATGGACCTTTTGCAAGGGAGACCTGCTGAACATGATGCTCAAATTTCCAAGTTCTTCCCTCGTGCATTTGATAGATGTTGTTTCCAAGTATGATGCTGGATTCCTAGTTTCTTTGTGGGCACATTTTTACAATCTGTTGTTACCCTTGCTTTGCTCAGATCAATGCTGCAGACTTGGTACCGGGTGACATTGTGAAGGTCCAGAATGGCCCCGCTGCTTGGTTTGCAAGAAAGACAGTACATAAAGTATCATAAAGTACATATGGTGATGCAGCGATGCATGCAATTTATATTTTTTACAAGTGCGTTTTGAAGGAACATGGGTTATAAGTTATAAGTTATAAGGGAACTTTCTTTGTGCTGACTGAACCCACTAGGTACCGTGCGACCTCCTCCTGCTGCGTGGTGCAGCGGTTTGTGACGAATCCACGCTGACTGGAGAATCGATGCCGGTGCAGCGCCTGACCCCTGCCGCTAAGCCAAACCATGTTCCAGCCAAGATTCTGGCTTGGCTCATTGGCTCATTTTTTCAAAATTCTGTGCAATTGTACTGATTGCCTGTGCTATGGGCAGGATTCCTTTGCTTTCTGCACAACTTACTGTATTCTTTTTCAGGGCTCACCCTCCAGCAGTGAACAACATCGCATCTCTCGTGGGTTTTGTCAAAAAGGTTGCAAAATACATGCAAATGCTGTATCGAAGAACTCAAGATCAAGAATGCATTCAATCAGATAAGGTAGAGAAGTTGCCAGAAAGCTTGTGACTGGGCTGCACATGGCACAGTCTGTCTGAGTCCCTATCATCTTCAGGTTTTGTTCCTCTTGATCATTGTCTCTGCGACAGGTAAAGTACATACTTCATAGGAAAAGACAACACAAACCAAAGACCAACTGTATAGAGGCTCGCAGAGCCTCTTGAATACAGATATATATATATATATTATGTGAATATGATCCACACAGGTCATATTCAACGATTCATGACCATTTTATGCCTTGTTTGTAAGTTACATTGATGTTTCTCCAACGATGGTGCAAAACCCTGAGTTTGACCACACTTGCGTGCAAAAACTACGTTTGGCAAGGCCTGGCTTCCGCTTTCCTGCGAAGCATGTGCTGGTGGTGACTTGGAAGTAGAGGAAGCAGGTTCACTAGTGTTGCCTCAATGCAATGACACAATGACCTTCGGCCTCATGGGGTTGGAAACGAATCTATGACCGTTGGAGAGTCCACTGCAAGGTTTGCACTGTCCTGTTTGTACCAAAAGGTACACCCACGCTAGTGTCCACAGCGTTCACCCCAGCTCCGAGAACAAGCTCAGGCTGGCACCACCGTGTTGCAAGCCGTGGACGACGACACCTGGGCAATGGCGACGCACACGGGGATCCACACCCAGATTCTCAGCGATTTACTGTAGCAGACGTAGGATATAGGATCTACAGCACGATGGTTTTGCAAGAAGAGCTCATGGCCAAAACCTCTTCACGTGCATGTTGTAAAGAAACACATGGCCGTTGGAAGAAGGAACGTCTCTGGAGATGTCATACATAACTCAACCTGTCCATGAAGTGATTTTCTGTGTCACAGAGGAAAGGCCAGCTGCTGTTGCTGATCCTTTATCCACCAAAGTTGATCTTCAAATATGATGAGCAGCTTTCAGTCACTTGGCGCCATGCATGTCCTCTAATCTTTTGTCGAACTGAAGACTAGGAGTGCCTGAAACAGCCACTAGTCTGTTGAAACAGCCACTAGTCTGTTACGGACTCTATCGGTTCTCAGTTGGTGACACACATCGAAACCAAGCTTCGTCAATCTGTCCTCGCTCAGGTGGTGTTCTTCCTCCTCATTGTCTATGCACTGTTTGTTGCCATTACACTGATGAGGGTCATGTATTGGCGTTATGCCAATGATCAGACACCTGGCTGAAGATGTTAAAAGATCTTCACTCTGCTTTTTGAGGACATCGTCAAATCAAACTTTGCCAGGACTCAGAATGCTCTATGAAATCATATGTGGCCTCATTGTGCTGTTGGTCCTTACGAAATCGCATTCGAATCTGCGAAAGGCCTCGAGTTTAGGCACTTGCCCATCACCGCAACATGGGCCTCAGCGGTGTTTACGTGCTCCTGTGTGCTGCCCACTATGCTGCACATCGTCCTCTCAGTTGGACAGGTGAGATGCCGAACAAGAAACTCGCTGTATGTTGTATCTTTGGGCGTGCCTCCGAGAAGTTTCTTACAATGAGTCTGTGATTTCAGATTCTGAGATTTTAATCCAGAAGAATATATCGCAATATCGCAGCGTTTAGTTCCGAGCTTCGCACTCTGCGCTGACATCACGGATGTGAGCTCTGAGCCGTTTCGGGTTCATCGTGAGTAGACAGATTCTTTCTGGCATGTTGTGATATTGTTATAAACATATTATAGTGTGTCTAAGTGTGTGTCTAAGTGTGTGCTTTTTTAATGTTAGGGACTAGAGCTTTGGACATCGCATGCTTTGCAGGTGGTCTCAGCGCAGAGACTCAAACAGGACACGGAAGTGCTGTAGACCTGGTGGAGGGCCACAAGAGCGTAGATCAACAATTCATTCTTTTCAGCATCAGGAACTATCAGGAAGTACATGTTAGTTGATCAAAAGGTCGACATGAGACCTGGGTTCATTGAGAGCATTTTCTGTTGTTTGCAAAAGTGGTTCTTTTTTTGAGCTCGGTTGAGCTCGCACAAGTAAATATATATATATAGATAGAATTATGTCTTTTTGCGAAGGATGGCGTTTTCCCATAAGAAGGAATTCCTATGGATCAACCACCACAGACAGTATACCGTATCTCCTGCAGACATGAAGTTGACTCATTGATCCTGTCTTGTTGGGCCACTGGCCAAGTCATGAGATGGAGAGCTGCCCATCGTAGCACTGTTCGGTCTATGTATTGATGGAACCACGACTCCAACCTCTAAAGCCAGGTGGCAACACATGGCGACCGACATATTGGAAAATATGCTGTCAACTGCTCAGAAAACATCAGACAACTCAAAATGGACATCCGTGGTCCGGCAACCGCCACAACATCTCCATCATGATCACACCATATGCGAATCGGTCGGGCGGATGATCAAATGCGTCGGGCTGAACCAGGAGGGCGCCATTTTTTGCGTGGTGCCAAAGCGCATTGCATTGGCTGGCAAGGAGGGCTGGGGAGATGAGCCAAGAAACCGAAGATCGAACAGGTTCGAACAGGTTTCTTGTTCGGGACATCTAGTCATGGACAACCTGGAGAACTGTGGAGTCGTGTAGTGTTGGGAAGAACCTGGAATTACAGTAGTGGTCTGTGTCTAGGCCCGAAGGCCCTATGGTAAAAGCTTGAAATACACTTTGTTCATCCACAGGTTCGAGTGGCCTGCTTTGACAAGACTGGTACGCTTACAACAAGTGGCACCTCGTTCTTGAATAGAGTTTCGAGAATTTCGAGGGGGCTGCAAAATCTCTGCTTTCTTTGGACCACACCCGCCGGACCTCGGAAGGATCGTACACACTGGGGACGATGATTGCAGCGAAAACAGTCTGACGTAAACCTTTAGTGCAACAGGATGCAGCACGTTGGTCTCAGATGTCTTGAAAGCATCACTCTCTGCAAAGGAGTTCAACTCTTGGGACGTTCGGGGGTAGGTTTTATGGGTCTTGGGCTGTCTTGGGCAGGAGATGTTGCTTTGATTGTTTGGGTGAGACGTCCTCACCAAGGGGTTTCAGCCCACAGTCTAGTGTCTGTCCCTTTGACAGATGCTTTCCAGCAGGTGACTCTTCTCAAATGTAGTTTCCCCGAATATCTGGACGCCCTTAATAACCCCAGCTTGGCAGAAGAAACCCAGCTCTTCCACGGCCTTGCTACTTGTAGCTACCGAATAATGAGCTCACTTCTCCACTTAAGAAAAGAAGTCTCCTTCCCAAGCCTAAGGATTGGAGTTCTTCGGCGTGCACTGCGTATCGAGTTCCCAAGGTCAAGCTGGAAGTCGGAAGACTAAGTCCCAAGTGAAACACAACACATACAAAACATATCTGAAGATTGGCTCGCAGAGTATGTGTAAATCAATCAGTGCTGATTGTACATATTTTTGTGCGTGGACACGATCCTGTTCTGTGACGTTGACTTTTGATGCAGAAGACTTTGCGGTTGTATCGTGGTGAGGCATGGACCAACCCAATGTAATTTATGTCATCAGGAGCTCCTCTGGACTCAAGATTAGATCAATGGACTGGCAGTCCTTGTTGAGCTTGGCCAAATGACGATGCTATAATGCTATCCGTGTTCTCGTCAACCCAGAGGGTGACTGCTTCACTCCAAATTCATTTTGAAGCCTTGACACATCGTGCCGTGCATTTTTCCATATCTTCGCAGCGGCTTTCCCTCTCCGGCAGTCCTGGCAGGTGCGGGCAGAGGTCCTTTTTCCTCGTATCGTGTAACTGGCAATGGTGTATTGCCTTCGCTGGAGGAAGAACCTCAAAGCTCTAACTGGGACACCTGGACACGATTTAGCACCTCTTGTCAAAGGCAACTCATTGGTGTTAGCTTTTCTATTCTTATGCAACCTCTTTTCTCAACATGCAGCAACGCATTGGGTATCAGGGAATCAGGGTGATGTCCAAACAATTTAGCACCTTCATTTAGGAGGGAGGGAACCTTTGTTCTGAAACTATTGAATTCTTTATGTATCTTTGAAGCTCAATGGCAGTTGAGATAATCTTGGCCTGGGGCGGTGGTTGTATTAGCTTGGTAACAAACTCACTGTCCCAGTTCCCTTGCATGAGGACTTGGAGATCATGTGCTGTTTGGCGTCCACACATTCGTTGTCCCCCTTTTCCGGCACAGAAGCAGGCTGGGCCTGTGCAGCGTACAGCGTTCGGAGCATTTCTGCGAACGATGCGGTCCTTGTTGATCCAGCCAATGCAACAATGCGGAGTTCCCAAAGAAGTGCCTAAAATCGCCTAAAACCATGAACTTGTTGGCCGATGCTGCATGTATTTGTTTATGTTTTGTTGGGTATGACCTTGCTTTCTTTTCTCATGGATGGAATGGGGCAGACAGATCTGCGCTGAAGAACGATCTTTTAGTGTTGGGTCTACTGCTTCTTCGGCAAGCATTCGTTGGAGATTCTAGTGCTTTGTGGTTTTGGTTTTTTGTTACTTTAAAAGCAACTTAGTGGTTAACATATGTCTTTATCTTTACACATGAGGATCATGAGGTATCTAGACAATCCGAACACGAAAGCTGCTTCAATGGACTCACGAAAGCCGCCACTATTTTTCACAATCGGGTATGCCACTGTTTGCAAAGCTGCTGTGACATGCTGGGTTCACGAGTGCAGGTTTTGCAGGGAGACTCAATGGCATCACTTGTATCAGACAAATCCTTCGGGATTTCTTGATGGTTAGGCAGTGACCAACTGCTATTTGCAACTCAATGCCAAACTCTGTGCAGGCGTTGTTGGAAACGCAGTGGAAGTGTGCCGTGCCTGAATGTATTCAAAATGGAGGCACTGCTCACCTGATTGTTTTTGGTTTGATTACTGGGCCTTTGATGTGGTCAATAAACCCACACGACACAAACCACGCAAATGACCTAGCAAGAGTCACTGACATTTTCAAGAGTTCAGTATCCTCTCGTTCTGTTTGCGGACTGGCTCTGTGTACTAAATACTAGTTGTTGCCGATAGCTATAAGCTGTTCGATTAGGTTCTGCAACCTGAGGAACATGTTCAAAGCCTCACGCTGGACCCTGACCTCGCAAACACGTGTTGAAAGCGCTTCTGACCAGATTGACATCCTGCTTCTCGGACTGCATGAGTCTTGAGTCCGCCTACACGCAGCGATTTGCACCACCTTTTCCAGAATCGACTTAGCTATTTTTACGCAACCGTCAGGAAGCTTCAGCAGTTTGTCAGTTTGTTCCTTTCAACGACTTGTGAGTTTCCAGTCGTGGCCTAGCCAAGACATCGCTGCTTTTTATCATCATTTTTTATCCCTTTTTCTTTTTTCGGGGGTTGGGGCATAGACGCTGAAGTAAGCTAAGTAAAGGCCTAAGCTTCTTAAGTAGCTTCTTAGGCGGGGCACTCAGGGCTTCAAGGAAGCTGTGCCCGCTGAAGGCGGAGGGGAGCTTCCTCGAAGAAGCCCGAGTTTTAATGATTTGGTTCATAGTTTCTTGAGGAAGCGATTTGACTTCTCGCACAACACGATGACGATGAGTGCAGTGGTGCAACACAGTCCGTCCGGCGAAAAAGGCGCGGACTTCAATTGAACGATTAAAATCCAGTGTGTCCTGTACATTTTATCGATTACACAGTTTAAATTCTCAGATGCTTCAACTGCCAGCCTTTTGCAGATGCTTCAGCTGCTGTTGCCTGTGTATGGAATAGTGTCCAATTTGATTGCTAGGACCATCTCGTGACACAGAAAACGGATGAGTTAAGGGATGGTGAAATTGACATCCGACAGGCATCTATTGCAAAGGCAGCTTTGAACATGTCCTGCGGCTTTGCCGCCCGGAGTCCATCCCTGAAGACTTTTCTCAGGCCAGGTGGTGTTTTGCCGCTCTCAATCTGTTTGTTTCAGTCATTTCAGGAATCGGGTGCCATATGATTTTCAAATTGCATGCTATTTTTGGTGAGTAAAATATCCAATGGGAGGATCCCTCCACAAAGTGAGCTGCATGGATTTCTCAGCTATGGATTTGGCAGGTGGCCTCCGAGCATGCATACTCTGGGATGTATGTTCTGGCGATAGCTGCTCGCTCGGTGGAACCCTCTGAAGTGGTTGCCACCCGGGAGGATGCTGAAAAGAATCTCTCCCTGTTGGGTGGCCTAGCCAAATTTGGAAGAATAGGAGCAAGATCAATGATAAAGCCTCATGCCGGGAAAGCAATACTTTTGTAAGAG